GCTGGTAATTGGTAAAATATGGCTTATTGAATGCACTTATTATACAATGTTACAGTATTATTTTTGCATTTTTGTATCTTTTTGATCTAATGTGATTTCAGCACCTAGTAACCTAGCCCATTCATTTCCTTTTGGATTTAGCTACAGATACTATCATACTACAATTTTGGATGATACACGATGTCAAAGAGTTTGAGTTGTTTACTTTTTCTGATAAGCTTGCATGCTGACTTACATACATCTGTTGACTTTTCATACATCTGGTGTCACATAACACCACTTTCCTTACGGTCATAAGGTGAATCCGCCCCTGGGCATAATCATAACCCTTTTCACATGAATTGTCAGCCGCTCTTTGTTGACAAATGCAAGTTAGGCACCGAAAGTTGCCGTTTTTTGAGAAAAATGAAAATGGTGGTGGGTCCCACAGTAAAATATAATTAGTGGCGGGTCGCACTAACAATATTTTATTTATGCATAGTGTTTCCCAAACACTATAAATAGGACCCTAAACTCTTAAGAAAAATTCATCCCAGAAACAACTCCTCTCATAGAAGAGAAAGAGAGAAAACACAGAGCGAGTTTGTGAGAGTTCTTGGAGTGTATCTGATCAAGAGAGGGTGTTCTCTTTGATCTATTCTTTTGGGATATAAAATAATTTGGCATCGTCGTTATACCGTGGAGTAGCTCCGAAGGAGTGAACCACGTATATCTGTGAGTACTCTGGTTGATCTTGTGCCTTTATTTTGTGTATTGCGTCTCCGTTAGAGGCGTTCTTATTGGGGTGTATCCTAACAACTGGTATCAGAGCCTGACTTAGAGTATATATATCTACTTATCGTATGCTCGGTGCCTGCCACTAAAAGTGAATCCTCCACATCAAAAAATAAGTGAGATTAATATTTACTCTTTTAAGGCATTGGGCACTATTCACGTGTACGATACTATTCACGTGTACGGCACTATTCACAGATACGATACTATTCACAAATACGGTTCGGGAAAGACGTAATCTTTCACCATGGGATCTACAGTTGAAGACAACAGGCTTCGAATTGAGAAATTCGGCGGCCAAAATTTCAGGTATTGGAGGATGCAAATAGAAGACTATTTGTACCAGAAGGATCTCTTCCTACCCCTCCAAGGGGAGGCGGGGAAACCTGAGAAAATGGACGACGATAAGTGAAAGGTGCTCGATCGTAAAGCACTTGTCACCATCAGGTTCAACCTTCACCAGCATGTGACTTACAACGTCTCGCATGCGACCACCACCAACGAGTTGATGGAGGCCTTGGAGGCGCTGTATGAGAAGCCATCTGCTTCAAATAAGGTGTTCCTGATGAAGAAGCTATTCAACTTAAAGATACAACAAGAATCTCGTGTGGCGAACTTCTTGAACGAATTTCAGGCTGTTGTGCAACAGCTTGCTGTAGTGGATATAAAGTTCGACAACGAGATCCAAGCTCTTCTGCTACTTTCTTATCTATCAGATTGATAGGAGAATATGGTGATGGCGGTGAGCAATGCCAATGACAATGACAAGATGAAGCTCGACATAGTGATTGGGGCAATTCTGGATGAAGAATCTCGTCGTAAAGTCTCAAGAGCTGAGGCCTCTATCAGTGGGAGTGCTCTGCATGTCGAGGCACGAGAGCGTGCGCAGAAGAAGGGTAGGGGACAACGAGGCCAATCAAAATCTAGAGGGAAGTCTAAAGGGCCGAACCCGAATGGTTACGGTGAAGGGAAGTGCTTCATGTGTGGAAAGAATGGTCACTTTGCACGGGACTGCAGAGTTCATGTTCTAGCATCAACAGGGGATGATCGGGCTGACGGTGCAGCCAATCTCATGCACGAGACGGATTCAGATGCTCTTCTCCTATCTCTTAAAGATAAAAACGATGCGTGTGTCATCAACTCTGGCGCATCTTTTCATGCAACCTCACAACAAAAACTGCTTTCATCGTTCGTGAAGGACATTGGGACATTCTATCTTGACGACGATCAACCTTGCAAAGTTTCCAGAAAGGAAAATTGTACCCTCAAGATAGAGGGCGGGACCACCTTGACGCTAAACGACGTTCGGCATGTACCGGATCTCAGACGAAATCTTATATCAGTCAGGCAACTGACTGACTCCAGTTACAGAGTATCCTTCGAGCAGAGAAGCTGGAAGGTGTCCAAGGGTGCCCTGGTGGTGGCACACGGCAAACGCGAGGGGTCTCTCTACATCACCAACGGGAAGATCAACCACTTGCTTGCCGCAGGACAAGCATCATCATCATCATCCGTCGACTGCATGACTTGACATCGACGACTTGGCCACATGAGCGAGAAGGGGATGCAGATTATGGCCGCGGGAGAGAGGCTTCCGGGTCTGAACAAGATCGATCTGACTTTCTTTGAGGACTGTATCCTAGGCAAACAAAAGAAAGTGAGCTTCAACAAGACCGGACCGGCTCCAAAACTGTAGAAATTGGAGTTGGTGCACACCGACGTGTGGGGACCTGCGCAAATCCCATCTGTTGGTAACTCTCTTTATTTTGTCATTTTTATTGATGATGCTACTAGAAAGTTGTGGGTGTTCTTCTTGAAGCACAAGTTAGATGTTTTCATCATCTTTAAGAATTGGCTTTCCTGTATGGAGAATGAAACAGACAATAAGCTAAAGTGCCTAAAATCCGATAATAGAGACGAGTATTGCAGTCAGGAGTTAGAAAACTTCTGCTCGTCCCATAGGATTCGGAGACTGAAGGTCATCCTAGGCACACCTCAGCACAACGGAGTGGCGGAACGCATGAATCGTACTATCTTGGAGCACGCCAGAAGCATGAGGATCTATGTTACCCGGGTACGGCAAAATGGGTGCCGTACCCGTGTCGGGTGCGGTTTGGGTACGGATCCGCACCCAAACGGCAGGGACACGGGGATTCAACGAGTAAGGGGAAAATTTGCGAACCTGAAGGAGGGAAGAACAGCTTCGATGGAGACCAGCTTCGACGGAGACCAGCCCGTAACCCATTCTTCGACAGAGACAGCTTCGACGGAGGACTGAGGCTTGGACGAGCTTCGACGGAGGTCTGAGACTTGGACAAGCTTCGAGGGACGAGGCCAGCTTCGACGGGAGGACTGAAGCTTGGACGAGCTCCGACAGAGGATTGAGGCTTGGACGAGCTTCGAGGGTCTTGTGAGGGGCCATTGATGGAGGACTAGCTTTGGGTTCGCGAGGAGAAATGGGAAGAGGCGACGAAGATGAAAACCCTAGGGGGAAGTTACGGTTTTATATGGGGGAGGGGTTTGGGTTTGGATTCGGGTTTGGGTTTTTTTCTTCACCTGTTTTTTATATGGAGTGGGGTTTGGGTTTGGGTTTGGGTTTGGGTTGGGGTTGGGTTGAGGTTTTATATAGGGGGAGGGGTTTGGGTTTGGGTTGGGTTTGGGTTTTATATAGGGGGAGGGGTTCGGGTTTGGGTTTTATGTGGGGAGGGGTTTAGGTTTGGGTTTATATAAGTAATAATATTAGTTCTAAATTTTTAAATAAAATAAAAATAGATTTCTATTCCTTAGAATTGTTAAATAAAATAAAAATAGATTGTCATATTTTAGGGTATATTTGCAAATGTAATAGGTATTTAATTTAACACTGATCTAAAGTGAATTATTTTATATATATACAGCCGTGTCCCCGTACCCTATTTTTTACAAATTTGCCGTGTCTCGTACCCGTACCGGTACCCGTACCCGTACCTAGGTAATATAGATGAGGATCCATTCCGGATAGCCCAAAAGCTTTTGAGCTGAAGCTGTCAATACTGCTGCATACTTGATCAACCGCGGGCCATCCGCGGCTCTCAGTTATGGGATACCTGAAGAGGCTTGGACCGGAAAGAAGCTGAGGCTAGAACACTTACGAGTATTTGGTTGTGAGTCTTGTGACGCCTATGTCATGACCAATCCTGCAGACCGGTCAAAGCTTGATCCAAAGTCAAAGAAGCTCTCTTTCATCGGCTATGGAGGAGATGAGTATAGATACCGTTTCTGGGATCACAATGCGCGTAAGGTGGTGCGTAGTCGTGACATCGTGTTCCATGAGAATGCGGTGTACAAGACCAAAGAGGTGAGAGGGAGTCAGCTATCTCCCCCTCTTTTTCCAGATATTGCTGACAGTGAGGACGACGATGAGATACCAATCAACATAGAAGACGGAGACCAAGAGAACGTGCGGGATGCACAGCAGCAGGATCTAGTAGAGTTACCGATCGTAATTCGTAAAGCTCCAAGAAATCCAAGGGTGCCAGAGAGGTACCTTTCCACCATGAATTATCTTCTCCTGACTGACAGTGATGATCCAGAGAGCTATGAGGAGGTACAACAGACCGGCAAAACTCGGGGTGAGTAGGAGTCTGCCATGGAGGAAGAAATGAAATCCTTAATGAAGAA